TTGTCCTCGCCGGGCTCGGGCCAGAATGGAGAACCACACGATCACTTCTTCGAGCCCACGGAAGAATTTCGGAGATGCACCTCTGCGCCGAGCTTCACGCTGAACAACAGGAGATGGATCTGTTCGAAGAAAGACAACCAAGGAAGCAACAGCAGTTAGTCTTCTACACTCAAAGAAGAAATGACAACAACTACAACCGACGCAGCAAGCAAGATCAACGCGACAACCGAGGACTCACCATCGTACCGCCGTTCTGCCACAACTGCCAGACTTCCGGGCACTCCAAAGTCAACTGCAACCGCCCTCGCGTTTACCGTGCAGCAGACCCACAAGTCACTTCCACTCAAGCAAGTCCTCCAAGGCGCTCTTCAACATCTGCACAACAAACACCCAACATCATCAACTGCATGGTACACATCGACAACTGCGCACCCGGTTCACCACCCACTTACGCACCAGACGAAGAAGAATTCTCGCCGCCGCGCTCGCAAGGACTTCAGGTCAACCCGACATACGCTGCAGTCGCCAACGCCGAACCCACCGGGCGAAACACCTGGTTCTTGGACAGTTGCTGCGGTCAGCACATGTGCTCCTCCGGACGCTTCGTACAACACGAGCGACGCCTCAACCGTGACGTCGTCATCACCGTCGCCAACAACGAAAACCTGAAAACAAATAGACAAGGCGTGGTTCAGTTACAATCAATGGAGACAAACGTTATTCTTCAGCTCAACAAGGTCCTCATCGTCGACAATCTGGGATACAACCTATTAAGCGTAAGCCAACTAATGGCTAAGGGGATTCACCTGGAGTGCGACTCCTTCTCCAACGAGTTCCGACTTTACCACGGGAAGGGCGGTCTCTTCATCGGTCGTGCCCTCCTGAAGTCCGGTGTCTTCGTGTTGGACTTCGTCCCCGACCGCGGAACTGCCGACAGCGATGGCATCGTATCGTTCGCCGCCTGGACTCACCCGCCGGATCTTGATCCCGACTTCGACAGTGACGGCTTCTGGCACTCCAACACCATACCTGCAGCAGAGAGAACACGAGCATTAGCAGTTATCAGACAAGAAAGACAAGTACCCGCAAGTGTCCCAACAAAACCATCACCTGCAGTATCGGCAGCAGGACCCAGCCGAGTACCACCACCATCAACACGAGGATCGCCAACGGAAGCAGACCAACTTATGCCCGCCACACGAGAAGCTTGTCGAAGTCCCGCCTCAGTCGTCGCGTTCTTATCCAACGCCGACATCTACCACCGCTCGCCCGGTCACCGTGCTCCCGACGACATCTGGCACCAACGCCTCGGACACCCTGCAAACAGCACAATACTTCAAACAATCCAAGCAGAGGTGTTAGAACGCAACGCCCTTCTGACGACGAGCGGTCAAGAACTTCGACGACCACGAGCACGGTGCTTCACATGCCCCGAAGCAGATCTTCCTCATCAACCTTTCCCAGCCCATCACAATCCAAGCGCACCCACTTACGCTCCGATGGAAAAGGTCTACAGCGATATTCTAAACATGCCTCGAGACGACACCGAAGCCGACTTCAACTACGTCATCACGTTCATCGACGCCGCAACCAGATACGTCTGGCACTTCAATCTCAAAACGCGCGATCAAGCCTTCGAGGCCTTCACCACATGGCTTCCAATCGCCGAACGAGAGTCAGGAACCAAACTCAAGAGTTTCCAGTCAGACGGTGCACTGGAATACCAGTCACAACGATTCAGGACCTATCTCGCGGAAAGGGGAATCCGACGCCTGGTGTCTCTGCCCTATGCTCACCAGCAGCAGGGGGTAGCAGAACGCATGAACCGGACCTTGCAGACGACGATGCGAAAACTGCTTCTGGGGATGAGGCTGCCCAACGCACTGTGGCCAGACGCGATGACACATGCTGTTCACCTGCACAACCTGCTGTCCTCGTCATCACTTCCCAACAACGCATCGCCGCACCTGTTGTGGACAAGAAAAAGGGGCAGCACAAAATTACTCCGCGTTTTCGGCTGCATGGTACAGTACAGACCCCACACAGCCCGAGCAGGACGCTTCTCACAAAGAGCTCGATGGGGACTACACCTCGGCATCGCAAAACATTTTCACGCGTGGAAAATTCTCGACATACAAGACAAAAACACGGTGGCATCACGCGATGTTATCTTCTACGAACGACTGACGCTGCAGCATTACCTGGACAACCTTGCCAACACACAAGACCCCACCGACGGCTTCGCGGGCCTTCGCTCCTTCGCTGACCACACTGCCGAGGCTGACGCAGCAGAAGAAGACGTACCTGGAGCCTCGGAAGCTGCCGGACCACTCCCATTCTGTTCCGTACCTGTTCCACTCGATGAAGATAATCCCCTCGATAGCAACAACCTCGACACCTTTTACCACTTCGCCGACCAAGGTTACACTACACCTCACCCCGTCGACACGAATATTTCGGAACGCATCGGCCCCAATTTCTTACCTGACCCCGAAGACGGTGACGAAGCAGCTTATTCCGGGAATGAAAATTCCCCTCGACACACGCCCACGGGACTCCAGATTCTAGGCCTCTGGGTCTCCGTCCAGAATCCGCCGCCGCCTTCTCCGCGAGAGCCTTCAACGTTGTCGCAGGCTCTGGGAGGGGAACATAAGGCAAGATGGAAGGAAGCAATGGAAAAGGAGTTAAAAGCTCTGCAAGACCGAGAAACGTGGAAACTGGTACCTGCAACGAGCATCAACGGAAAAAACGTTCTCTCGGGGAAATGGGTGTACCGCATCAAGACCAACTCAGACGGTTCCGTCGAACGATTCAAAGCTCGATGGGTCGTACGAGGCTTCGACCAACGATACGGAGCCGACTACACAGAAACCTTCGCTCCAGTCTCCCGTCACACCTCATTACGCATCCTACTCGCCGTCGCGGCCACGAAAAAACTGCCACTACGCCAAATCGATGTCGCGAATGCGTTCCTATACGCACCTGTGGACGCTGAGATCTTCGTCGAACAACCCCACAGATTCATCGACGACCCCACGAAAATATGCCGACTGACAAAATCCCTATACGGGATCAAGCAAGCCCCGCGGCTCTGGCAGCAGCATCTTCACAGCCGTCTCGTAAAAATCGGCTTCCTACAGCTACCACATGACCAAGGCATGTACCGACTGCAGAAGGGAAGAGATTACATTCTGCTCATCGTCTACGTCGACGACCTGCTCTACATCGGTTCTACCACCGACATCGTCACCCGGTTCGAAGGGGAGCTGAAAGGGGACCTGACGCTCACAGTGTCCGACTCAGTAACCCAGTACTTGGGGCTAAATATCGTCGAAGACAACTCGGCGTTCTACCTACACGCTGGAAAGTACGCAGGTACTGTCGCGAAGAAATTCGGACTAACACCGGCTACCGCCTCAACTCCCTACCGCTACGGAAACAACAACAGCGCCTCCGCAAAACTCCCCGCGAAGCAAATCCAGGAGTACCAACAGAAGCTCGGCTGCCTACTATTTGCAGCAGTAACCTGCCGACCCGACCTGTCCTATAGTGCAAGTCAACTGGCGACGCATCTGAAGCAACCGGAACAGGAGGATCTCGAGGAGCTCAACCGGGCACTACTCTACTTCATCTCCACGCCGACGATCGGACTTACCTACAGCAAAGCTACAACATCGTCCGTACAACTACTCGGATACGTCGACGCCGACCACGCGGGAGATAGGGAAAATCGACGATCTAGGACGGGCTACATCTACCGACTAGAACCCGTCGGAACTATCTCCTGGCAGTCGAGCAAGCAGGAGTTAATCGCACTATCCTCTGCTGAAGCAGAGTACATCGCCCTTTGTACCGCGACCAAGGAAGGACTCTACCTGCGAGAGTTACTCGAGGAAGCGAAGATCGCGACCCTGCCCGCCTTCTCACTCTTCTGCGACAACCAATCTGCGATCAAAATCGCAAACAAGGACGGCTTCGCCAACCGAACCAAGCACATCGCCCTGCGGTACTTCTTCGTCAAGGATGAAATCGCGAAGGGGAGACTTCAACTCAGTTACTGCCCGACGACAGAAATGGCCGCAGACTATTTGACGAAGAAATTGGCGAAGGCAAAATTCGACTACTGCACGGTGCTGACCGGACAAACAAACGTCATCGGACCTGAACAAGTCAGCACTCCAGAAACGAAGGGGAGTGTTGAAAGTACATCAAAAGACTTAAGCGTTTCTGAAGTGTAACACTACACTCGAGGAAGATTGCAAGGGGTACGCGAGTCAACGGAGGTTACACAAGGGGGCGGACAAAGAACACGAAGGGTCTGGGACTCAAAGGGTCGCAACTGGAGGTTGCGACTGACCGTTACAGCATCACGGATGGTAACCGAAGCGGCAATCGAGTCGCTATGCGACTCGATAAACCGTTCCTGTAACTGTACTCTGCAACTGCTTTCTTATCTTCTATATATTGCTGTATGCTTGTTTCTTTAATTAATCACTTGTTCTCACATACTAGTACAAGGGTTCAACTGCCTCAACTTCCGCTGCACTACTCCAAGTCTCAAGTCTCTACAGCTGGGACTTAGTCTCTGCAAAAGATCCTAAGGGCTTTTCTCAGCCCAACATAACTAACAGGGAAAACGGAAGGTTCCGAGAAAGGTCGAGCTCTGATACCAACTGTTATGATTTAGAAGATGTCAATGAACTATAACGTGAGAATACAAGGTCGCTATTGCAATGAAAGCACGAGGTTATATAGGAGTAGACGTAATAGGGCGATAACCTTGGGACGTGGGTAGGTTCGGCAATATGGCGACGCTGTCGGACGCGACTCGAGAAAGGGTTGGGTCGAAAATGTAGGCCGAACGTGACGAGTCGAAGTGTTCGGGCGTACGCGGTAGCGGGCGACTCAGTAAGGAATGGAAATTCCTTACATTGCCCGTGTGTTAGAACCAATGGGCCTGTAGTTTGACACTTGGCATCTAATGAATGGGCGGTTCACTGGACGAAAGGTGTAACCTGTAATGATTTCTGCTTGAATTCCGTTTCATGCGATCCCTTATGATGCTTTGCGTTTCAGCACATCTATCTGAGCTAAAACGGTTGAGCTGAGATGAACCCTTATAACGCGCCTGTTGACAACAATTTTCTACACGAAGCTCTTGTTCCTCTGCTTTTTGGGCTTCCCTTCACCACGTGCTCCTTTCTCAGGATCCTGCTTGCTGCCAACACGCATGACTAAACCTTTTGCTCCACCCTTCAACTCCTTTCTTTCACCTCCCCTTTTTGCCTTCCCTTCCACCATGTCACGCCCTTTCTTCCCCACCTTCCTTCCACTGGCCCCACCATGATCATCACTGTCATCACTCAAAGACCTTTGAAGCAGCACTTTTTTCCGCTGCTGTTGTTGCCTGCTGCCCTCATCACGGGTCGGCCTTGCATCCTTGGGCTGATCCTCTTCCTCATCGTCGTCGCTCAGCGATCTCTGCAGCTTGCTCTTGGGCTTCACGACGCTACCCACACCAGAGCTGCCGCTCTTGGTGCTTCCCCTGCTTTCAGCCGCTTTCACCCCCTCGGCCTCAGCATCCCTGCCAGATCTCTGGGCATCCCTTCCCTCTGTTGCCTCAGCCTGTGGCTGGCCATGATCCGAACAGTCCCGGACGAGAATAGGATGCTGAGGATACGCCTCTGCGGATTGATACCCAAACGGCCCATCTCCAATGTGTGGGGGCGGGGCACCATACTGCTGGTGTGCTTGTGTGTGGGGATGATGGATCACAGGCCCATCACCCGTCTCCTCGGTCTCTTCCTGCCCTGCCAAACCGCCCAACCAAAGCTCTGCTTCAGCCTCCTCCACGCCCTTCTGCCACTCCATCATTGCCCACACCTCCGGCCCTTCACACTCGTCCTCCCATATCGCCTCCTCCGCCACTCCATCCCACCCGCCCTCCTGCTGTCCCAGGTGCCACATGGTGTCTGCCGCACCTGCTGCCTCCTCCCGCCCTCGCCCTTGCGCACCCCTCACCTCGCCGCCATACATATCCTCGTTGCCCCCTGGCATGCCCCAGCCCCCCTGGTGCGAGCGGCGGGGCGGAAGGGGGGCTGGGAGCGAGGGGGACGGCGCAAGGAATCGCTGGGGCGCGTGGGAGCAGGAGGGCGAGTGGGTAGGAGAGCGGGCGAGGGGAAGGGAGTGGGCAAGGTCGATCGACTGGGAATGGGACATCATGGGCGGGTATCCATGTGGCGACACGGTGTGCGCACCACCACCATCATCATAATTTCCGCCATTCACTTGTCGTCGACACCCATCTGACTGGATTCCAGCGTATCGCCGCCCCAAGAAACCCCCGTTTCTCCGAGGCTCTGGGCATGAAGGGGGAACTGGGGCAGGTGTTACTGCAATCTGCGGCGTGGGCTCGTCGTTGAGCTGCTCGCTGTCCCACGTGTGGAAGCGACTCACCCGTCGGCTGAAGGGTTGGTCGTCACCAATTCTCCTCCGTCCCCTAGCAGCCTGCACTGCTGAGGTGCTACCCACGGAGGGAGATGCTGGCTGACGTGGCAACCGCTGATTGGCTGCAGGAGAAACCGGGTGGGTCAGTCGTGGTGACGGAATGGCGCAGGGGAAGCGGGGCGAGCTGTCGGCTGCAGTTCGTGCCGGCTCCCGCCCCGCGTCGCGTGTCGCGCCATGCGGATTTAAAGGCCGCAAGGAAGGGCTGGAGCCGACTTCACTGTGTTTGTGGTTCCAAGCAGCGGAGCCGGCGCTAGTAGGCGGGGCGCGAGCGCTCTTTGGTGGGGACGACAGGTCGTCGCCATCGTCAGCTGCATCGCAGTCGATCACCAACGCTGCTGGCCGCCTAATGCGACCGTTTGGATTCCCGTTGGGCCGCCTCGACGCCTGCGGCGCTGCTCTCAAGATGCTCGGATCGGTCGGAGAGCTCTCCACCGCAGCGATGTCACCGGCGGGCGCGCCACCTGGCAGGTTTGGCGATTCCGCAAGGTCCATGAGGGCAGGGTCGGATCGGCTTTTGCACATTCCACGACTCGGAATTGCTCCGCGGGAAACGCGCGGCGACGGATGATGATGATGGTGATGAGGATGGTGGGAGCACGGAGCGGGCTCGGCGCGCTGTTCGCGACTGGCGGCTGCAGATTGGTGATGCTTCTGACGTGGCAGCTCTCGCGGCGACAGATGATGCGACAAGCACGGGACGTCGGCCCGCGCCTTCGGGATCACTGCGCGATCTAGCGACTCGCCATGCCACGTGTCGTGGTGGCGCAGCCGACGGGATTGCGGCACCCCCGCCGCCGCGCCGAGGGGAATGGGGCGCCTCGGCGAGGTCGCGACTCCTTGCGGCGGCGCGAGAGCGGGAGAGCCGCTCACTAGAGAAGCATGGCGCGCGCCATGGGGTGTCCTCGGTGTTCTCGGGGTGACGCTGCTCGTTGTGTCGCTGCCCAGGCTTTGAGACTTGTTAAAACCGCCGGTTGAAGTAGCCTGCTTGCTCCCCCCGCTGCTGCTACTGCTGCTGCTGCTGCGGCGAAGACTCGACAGCGATTCGAGCGCCGACGTACTCGCCGCGTCGAGGCGAATCTGGGGGCGGCGTCGTGCTTGAGAAGGCGGGTCGAGAGGTCGGTGGTAGGGCGGCACGGGAGTCAGCGGCTCGTCGGAGCTGTTAGGGGACCTCGTCGAAGCGCTGCTGCTTGAACGAGACGCCGCCAAACGCGGCGAGGGCGAGGACTTGGAGCCAGAAAACGAGGAGTCCGATGCGGTTCGAGAAGCACGCAAATTAGGCGTCGTTATTTCGTATCCGAATTCCGCCGAATGTTGCAAGGAGACTCTTGACGACCCTCGCCGGTGGCTCGGCTGTTGCTGACGTGGCGAAGCCTGCGCGTCAATGGGGACTCGTCTAATCGCCGCGGTGGCGATCCGATCACTGGGATCGGAATCTTCCGCGTTATAGGGCACGTCGTTGTGGAGTAGCTGCATCACTCGCATCGCCTTCTCCATTGTTCGCCGTCTCGCCCCGTCTTGCTCGCTAAGCATGACCAACGACGCCGCCATGGCAACAAGCAGGTTCTTGCGGCAACAGATAAGAAGAAAGATTTTGGAATAGCAGCCTGGGAAGTGATCTGTGACTAACGGTGATGCAGCCCTTCAGTTTGTTCGGAAGCAGGAGGAGTGGTGGTTCGAGTTACAGCACCTTAAAAAAAGGAACTCTGTGGCGTTCGGGTTGGCCGCTCGGATTGGCCCATTGTACTGCTGAGGGCGTGGTGCCTACAGTTCGGACGGCCCAATTCCGAAACTGAGTTCCGAAGTTCCGCGTGTCCGAACCAGACAAGTCTGGTACATCGTGTCCCGAGCACCCCTCTGTGCGGACAGGTAAGTCTGATACCTTCCGTCAGACGAAAGCCCCAAAATTCACATTTTTGAATCAGGCCGAAATGACGAAACATAACGACGATGTTCGAAACCATCAGTTCAAGAGCGAAAATACCCCAACCGCCATCCCTACCAACCCAGAGCGAGACATGTCGCCATTGCGCTGGGCGAAAAATGTAACTGTGTTTCCCGCTCACAATTTCCGCCTTGTCGCCCGGGCACGGAAAAGTGTCGGAAATGACGAATTTCCGTTGACGGCCGGACGCTCTGTCCGGACGTAGGGTAACACAACTTGTTCGGACGGGGTATTCGGGACGTGGTTGACGAACTCATGCACGAGTACAGGCGAAAAGTATTACCCTTCGTTTATGGACGGAACCCAGTTCCGAAACCTAAGGCACCATGCCCTGAGGGTGGAGTGTGCGGCAGTGATGGGAGATGAGGTGGGGGGAAGAGGCGGAGTGCGGACGGCAAAGGAACTCGAGCAAAAGGGGATGCCCACAGTTTCTGCAGTGCTCCGCGCACAGATTCTTGAACCTCAACGCGGATCCGCAGCATCCGTCGAGCCGAATCTGAGGTTCAAGAATCGCGCGCACCCGTCGATGTGCCGATTGACGAAACGAGAGGAGATTGACAGACAGCGACAGATTTTGCAAGTTGCGCGACGAGCAGTTGACGTACAGTAACGGGTGCGAAGCGAATGGGAAACGGGCAGCAGAACTGTCGCCATTAGCAGCTTGCGAAACAGCTTGCGAATGCCATCCGCTTGACTGAGGCTGTGGCGACAAAATGCATTAGGAGGCGACGATTGAGCGGGGTACAACAAATGTCGGGAGTTGGCTTCGGTGATGCCTGCCTCGCAAGATTTGTCCCTTACAAAAGGGCATGGTCGAGATAATCGGGAAAAAAGTAAAGTATTTTATTGTACATCTACATAAAATACTAGTACGAAACTACGTGGCGACAAAAGTCTCAACATAGCCCCCACATGGTCATGCGTACGGTGCCCTCAGCTAGCCTCAGCCCTGTGTCCTGTTATATGCTGAATCACTGATAGCAACACTCTGTACTATGGCAATCTGTGTTCTTCAACTGAGACTGTTCTCCACATCAATGACAAAACGGTATTTCACGTCCTTCTGCAGAACCAGTCAAGCACGACAGTCAGAGTATATAAAGCATGGTAGCACCAGCAAAAAGAAGACAGAAAATTCGCCTTGCATGTTATACACTTCAATGACCACCGCAGGTGTTACCTCGAGCAAGCGCGCGTACGCCTTGTTGACATCTTTGATATCAATCCTCTCCACCATGGACGCCACACCATTCTTTGCACAGAACTCCAGCATCTCTTGAGTCTCTTTGATGCCTCCTATCAAACCACCTGCGACCATCTTGCGCCCTGTCAAATGCAACCAGGAAGAAAGGTAACCACGGAGCATAAACATGCATGCAAATGCTTTGAGCGGACAGCTGTGACTACATACAGGTGTTTCAACCTAACAACAAAAAAAACATCCTTATTGCTACTAAAAGACGGGCTGAGCTCAGCCCATGACTGATGTTGCTGCAAGAAATAGCGCGAACAGCTCCCAGCTGGAGAGGATTCCAAGGCAGCAGTGGGCTCACCGTATACAAGTTGGCCAGCATGGAGAACAAAGGGGACTGCAGGAATGCCGAGGATGAGGAGCTTCCCATTGAAGGCGAGGAGGTCGAGGTAGGGGCCCAGCTCATACTGCGCTGGAACCGTGTTGATCATGACGTCCAACGAGCCGGCTGCTGCCTGCTTGGCGCAACAGCAAGCATCCAAGAAAGATAAAGGGTGGTGTACTCTTGCGAGAGGAATAAATGCTGGAAGGTATGCAACCAACCCCCATTGTGTCATGCCAAGCAACATCAAATCAGCGCAGGGGAAACACTCTCATCCATGAGCCATCCCACCTTCATGGCATGAGCATCAGAAGTCAGAATGAATCTGTGAGCCCCCATCAGCTCCCTGGCATCCTTCTCCTTGCCAGGCGATGTGCTCAGCACCGTCACCTCCGTGCCAAACGCCCGCGCCATCTGCACCGCCACGTGGCCCAGCCCGCCCAGGCCCGCCACGCCCACGCGCATGCCGGGCTTGTTGGCGCCATAGTAGATCATAGGGGAATAGACCGTGATGCCAGCACACAGGAGAGGCGCTGCCACGTCAGATGCCAGCTCAGCAGGGATGGAGAGGACGAAGCTGGAGGGGGGCGGTAGGGGAAGATGGAGAAAAGGTGGTAAGATCGAGGAAACAACAGAGGAGAAGGTTGTGGGAGAGCAAACAGGAGTGGCAGGCAGAGGGGAAGGACGGAAGTGGAGTGTGCTCGCTTTGTGATTGGGTGAACAGCAGAGCGGAGGGACGTACTGTTCATCAACCACGATGAAGGAGGAGTAGCCGCCTTGAGTGGTCTGGCCGGACGGCGAGAGCGGGTCGATAGAATTGTAGGTGAAGACGCACTTGGAACAGAACTGCTCCTCGTGCTGCCGGCACGGCACGCACTCACGGCATGACCCCACCATCCCCATCACGCCCACCCGCTGCGCCGCCGCCACCTTGCTCACTTGTGCTCCCACCTCCTCCACCACTCCCACGATCTCGTGACTGTAACGGGATGATGCCCAATGGAAGGATCAGAAAGACGAGTTGTGTGTACAAAGCATTCAGGCGGACAGAGGGAGGAGTGGGAGGTAGGTTGCGAGTGAGATGCCAGGGAAAAACGCTGAGATGGGAGATTTCAGAGGCAAGAGGAGGTCGACGGAAAGGCAACAAGAGAAGAGAGGAATGGCGACGGAGGGAAGGGGTTGGTTGCAGTAAAATGGCAGGATGGACGCAACGCAACGACTCTGGCTGAACGGGTGGAGCGGCCTACCCGGGAACCATGGGGTACTTGGAATAGTCCCAGTCGTTGCGGGTCAGGTGCACGTCGCTGTGGCACACGCCGCAGTGCGTGATGCGGATCTTCACGTCCCTAGGTCCCACCTCCCTGCGGTGGAACCGGAACGGCGACAGCACCCCGCTGCAGTCGCGCGCGGCGTAGCCGATGCAGTTACCCTCGCCTTCTGGGGGAGCCATGGACAGCCCGCTTGGTAGGTAGTGAAATTCAAATTCACGAGAGCCCGAGAAGGATGAATGCGAGTGCTAGGAAGGACAGAGAGGGTGGCCATAAGACTCAGGTGAAGCGGGCTTTGCGAGAACAAGCGCCGGCTGTGCAGGCTGTGCGCGGGGAGGACGAGCACGCGGAGGTGGCGTTCACTCAGCTGACCGCGCCACTCATGTCGGAGTGATCGAATCCGCCACGCTGGCGAAGCGCAGGCTGAGCTTGGGCTGACTGGGATCCCTCGCGCCGATGCGAAGTGGCTCAGCGAGCCTCGACGCATGGTGCGTGATAGGCGAAAGGCTGACGTCGCGCACGGCGCATGGTCGCAGCGTCGCAACGAGGCTGAACATGTCGCAGCTTGGAACACATGGGTTGGAAAGACCTAGGGAGCGCATGAGCTGCGCGGTGTGACCACTGACCATGCCAAGGACAAGCCTAGGAGTTTGACAGCAAAACATGGCAGGAGTTCCCGAGGGAGCATTCTCAAGAATGAACGGGGGGTGCAGGTTGGAGAAAATTTTCATCCGCGGATGGAGCAAATTTCATAAGATGCCAGACTACCGGCATATTATTGAAATGACAAGCACATAGGATTTCTTATCCTACCACAAATATGCATAAACTACAACCAGTGCTAAACAACAGCAGCTAGAATGCTTAACATCGCTAGTATTTGCCAAGCGAAACCAATAATGTGATTGCTCATTGCTGCCTTGGGCTGTGCAGAGGGGGGAGGAGACGAAGCAGGCGGAACACTGATGTCCCTAGGCACCGTGGCGCAATCTAGGTTGGTGTCCAATGCTGTTAGGGTGGGGGCTCCAGTATAGTCACCAGGGACAAATCTGGGGGGGGCAGCAGTGGAGAGGAAGAGGTGGGAATTGAGAACACAAACGTAAAGGATAGACAAGGGGAACAAAGGGACAGGCTTGACGTGCACCACTTGTAGAAGTGAGTTGAGATCATTGCAACCAACCACAAGCCATGTGGCAAGCAGCTGCAAGAAGAAAAGTAGATGAAATGGCGGCACTCACATCAGGTGTTGCACATCGCTGATGTTGGCATAGGGGGTCTTCTTCCCAGTAGCTTCCTCCAGACACACAATGCTGCGCTCGTATGCTGCCGCCTGGCACACATAGCCCCCTCCTGCTGCCACCGGCCGCGATAGCACAAGGCCGCCTCTTGGGGGGGACTGGGGAGGGAAAGGGAGGAGAAGGGGACGCAGAGATTGAGGGGCATGCCCATCCGCTGCAGCTACCCTCCATGTCACACGATTCAAAACACACAAAAAACGTAGCAAACGAAAGCACATAGCAGCAGGCGCTCACATGCTCGCCCATCTGCTGCTCGAACTGCACGAAGGACGCCATGTTGCCCTGCGAGCACCCGCTGCCGCACTGCATCAGCTGCTGCATGTCCAACCGCCCGATCACCCCGCCCTCCGCCACGCTTATGTACACCAGGTAGTGCGGCGGCTGTCGGGGGAGGGGGGAGGGGGGTGGGGAGGGGAGAGAGAAAGAGGAGGAATAGGAGAAGCGTGCTTTTGTATTCGTGCAGAAAAATGGGGGACAGGGAGAGAGGAAGCAGGACAGGGATGCAAAGAGCGGACAGGGCACTGTAGGTGCAGGAGGAGAGAAACCAGGAAAGGAATGGGAGGAAGGGGAGAAGCAAGAGGGTCATGGAAGGGGGAGCGAGGGCGAGCCCACCTTGAGCGCCACATGGAGCTCACCTTCGGGGTGACTCTCCTTCTGGGTGCCTCACCTTAGGCGTGAACACCATTCTCAGTGGCGTGTAGTCCACGTTGAACGTCAGCGCCTGCCACGCCGTCGCGTTGGGGCGCGGCCGCGGCGTGGGCTGCGGCTGCCCGTTGGGCTGCGAGGGCGGCGGCTGGATGGCACTCAGCTGCAGCAGGTGGATGGCCTTGTTTGTCGCATCCAGCACGAAGAGGAAGCTCTCGTCAGGCGCCATGTACAGCTCGCCCTGCGCGGGGGGGACGTGGGGGGGGGAGGGAGGGGGGGACGTGATGGGAGGACGTGAGGGGGGACGTGAGGCGGGGAGGGGGAGGAGGTGGGAAGAGGGTTGACGAGGAGGGCAGAAATGAGATTGGGCTACTCCGTCCGACAGCACCCCCTGCAGCACCCCCTGCAGCACCCCCTGCAGCACCCCCTGCAGCACCCCCTGCTCATGCTCGCTTGCTCTGCCTCTCCGCACCACTTCACTCTTCTCAATCGCTCTCCTTCCTCTGCCGCCTCTCACTCTACCCATAACTCGCCTCTGCATCTGTCCCCCGCCCTTTCTTCCCTCTCCCACGAGCTTACAGCGAACGGCCAGACGGCCACGATCGAGTTCGTCCGCGCGTCGATCTGCACCGTCGCCAGTTTCCCCGCCTCCCTCAGTCCCCCCGCTGCGCTCGCCGCCTTCCTGCTTGCGCCCGCGCCCGCTCCGCTCACGCCGATCCCGATTCCGCCATCCGCAGGGGAAATGGGGGACGGGGGAAGCGCGCAGGAGACGAAGGCTTGGCGCAGCACGCGCGCATACGCGCTGGAGAGCGCGCCGGGGCAGGCGAGCTTGTTGACGGCGGCGGCTTCCGCGAAGGAGAGGAAGAGCGCGGGCGCGGTGGAGGGGCGCGCGAGGTCGACTGTGTACACGCCCGCCGATCCCGAGGTGGTTAGGAAGGCGCGCGTGCCCAGATCTGGGGTTACGGGGGGGGGGGAAGGGGTGGCCGGAGAGGGATGGTCGACTGTGTGCACGAACGACGACCCCAAGGTGGTCGGGCAGGCACGCGTGCCCGCGTCTGGTGTTTTGGAGAACGCGGGCCGGAATGGGGGAATGGGGGCTGGTGGAGGGGAGATGGACTTGATTCGACTAACGACGCAGGATACAGTTGGGAGTCTATTTTTGAGGCGCCTCAAAAACAAGATTCAGTTGGGAGGGCTGTTCAAAAGGCGCTCACTGGGGGATTGCAGCAGCCGCGCGCGCCCCTCCGGGAGCAGGGTGTTGATGCCGTCGCGATGCGCCTCCGCGAATGGCGGCTGCGCCGACAGAATGGAGAACGAGTAGCGGTCCGCCACGTCGGACGAGTGCACCCACACCTCGTTCTGGGGGGCGGGGCGGGGAAGGGGGGTGCGGGGTGGGGGTTGGTGTGAGCCGGGGATGGACGCAAGGGGCTAGGGATGGGGTGGGATGGTGCGGGGCGGAGGGCGGGTGGGGGAGAGTAAGGCTCGTGGCGCGGATGGAGGGGGCCGCTGCGCATACACGGCACCGGATTCGAGAACCGCAGAGTGCGCGAAGCGGCGGTTGTGCTTACAGCGAGGGGGACGAAGTAGACGCTGTCTGGCGTGCTGTTCAGCGACACTCGCGCCGTGACGTCCGCCGCTACCGCGTCGAACACGTGCAGCGCGTCCGTGAGTTGCGGCAGGCGAAGCGCGCCCGTGGTGCCGTAGCTCGCGGCGGCCAGCAGCGTGCGCTGCGCCGGGCCAAACGCCACGCTGCGCCACTCGCCCCTGATAGGGGCGCGGGGAAGGGAAACGAGGGGAAGAGTGGGGATGCGCCGAGGGATGCGTCGAGGAATGCGGAGGGAGAGAGGCGTGAGCGACGGCGGGCAATGGGAGGCTGAATAAGAGCTGAGAGACGTGCCGCGAAGGGGAGGAACGCTCGTGAGAGTTCGCGTCGTACCTGAAGGGGTGCGCCGGGCACTTATTGGGGAAGGGCACGTGGCCGGTCGGACCCTTGAACGCGCGCAGCGACGATAGCGGACTGCCCAACGTTGGGTCAATTAGCACCACCTGGCGTCACGTGATTGGGAAATCGGGATGGGCGGGCATGGCGAGGGGAGGGAGAGGGGGGCATGGCGAGGGGAGGGAGAGGGGGGCATGGCGATGAGCCTGGGACCTTTAGCGGCTGTCACGGCGTCGACTGCATGTCGCCATCCTCGGCTCGTCCTTCCGTTCACCGCACCCCTCTCCCCCCCGCGCTCTCGCAGTGCCATCCTGCGGCGTAGAGAGTGGATCGACGGCAGTGGTGTTCTCGGCGCAAGGCGCGCCTCGCATGACTGACTGTGCCGACTTGACTTTATCGCGACGACGACGCTCGAGCGCGCACCGCCAACAATCCTCGGTCTGAGCTTCTATTGAATCTTCTAGTGGCCATTCTATCAAACCTTACAACGTCCTTATATACTGCCAACGTCGTGTCGCGTGGCATTAGTTGCCTATTAGGTGACAACTACAGTGCGATTGTCGACAGCTAGCTGTGCCTCTATTCCAGTGCAGAGCATGCAAGTCGGCGCTCCACCACCTCATGCGGCACTTGCCTGGCCGTCAGCGAAGGCGTAGAAGATGCCGCGGCTCGTGCTCGCCACCGGTTCAGCGGTAATCAGACGGCAGAGACACGTCAGCCCCAAAAGCAGCGAGGCGGTGCGCATGGCCGCTCGAGACGCCATATTCATCGCTTCCGTGTAGAAGACTATCGGTAACGAGAAGACGCTAAGGGGGTAACACTGCAGCTACAGAAAGAGATACCTCACATAAGAGCTCGCAAGGCTAATCAGGAGAAACTTGGTGGCGTTCTGCAAGGTGAGAGCGGAAGCTGACTTCGGAAGCAGAAAGAGCATTAGGATGACCGCGGGGCACAAAGGCGGGCGAAGGGGTGAAGCAACGCCAAGCATGGATGGGATGGAATGGGAGGGGTTGAGAGCGCAACGAAAGCATTTTGCGCTGCTCTGCCGCTGCTGCCATCTCGTCCCCGTGCTCTAGCAAGTGGAATGTGTTTTCGGCCGCCCATCCGCGTTGTTGGACGGAAATGCGCCTCTCTGTGCTGCTCAGGCGCGCGCTGTGGAGGGAAATGCGCGTTGTGGTGCTGCGTGACCTGAGTGAGTGGCATGTCACTTGGGGACAACACGGCGGGGCTGCCCAAATTCCCGCGTCGTGGGGTTCTGTGGGTGATGATTTGGCTGCCCTGGGTCGGCTGACATGGCAATGAAAGTGGCTCCGAAACACTAAAGCGGTTCGCCACATCATCTGAAAGTTACAGTAGCGAGTCTGCTTGACCAGTGACTGGGGTTCCTTCGCTACAAGTAGTCACGTACATTTCCGCACCGCCCTTTCAGGTTCGGGACATTCGCGTCGCACTTGCGCCCTCCGCCAACTCCTTGTGGGTCAATCTCCGCCGCACGCAATTCCCCCATCACAAGTGTCAGCTGCCCCTGTGCTGCTGCTTGCGGTGTGAGAGCTGGTTTTTGTTTGTACGGGAGGGGCGCTGTGGGGCCGTGTTGTGCTCTCTATGCTACCCCGCTCGCCTTGTCCTGCCCCACTCTTCAATTCTGTGATGAAGAACACTTGAGAAGGCTCAGCTGCTATAGGCTTGGACCTCGCTTCGCCATCCATTTAGCTCTTATTGTATGCAGCTGACCTCAGAGTAAAGCCCAGGTCTAGGGACTTCAATTATCTCCTTCGTAAGCCTGACAGCGACAGATCCCAGCTAGTCAGGGAAAACGCCAGTATCTCTTCAAATATGGCTCCGCGAGCGTCCTGGAGATTAGTCCTGTCTTCTCTAATCGTGCTCGCATCGCTCTGCTCGCTAAGTCGTGCTGACGTGACACTTCCTGATCCAACGCGGCCCGGCCTTTTCTACTTCTTCATGTCTGGCCAGGTCAGTGGCTGCTCTCGATGGCATGCCGGTGGATGTCTCTCGGAACGAGTTAGTGGGTGACCTTGCGGACTAGTCGGGGGGTGGGTGGTGACCCCTAGGAAGAACGGGCGGTGCGTAGCTCATGTTGCCAGACAAGACGTTTAAGCATACGAAAAATCTGGACCACCCGCCGCAGCCTGTCATGGCGCCTTGCAGCCCCACATCCTATCTCAGCGATCATGACCTTGGCCTTCGACAGTCGCTATCGCGCGCGTGTATCGTTCTCGCCGTGTTCGACGCTGACCCGTGTTTCTTTGGCTTGTGCGTCGTGTGACCCGTGTGCGACAGATCGTGGTGGTGGACCCGGTGTCGCAGAAGGTGGTAACCAAGATCAACCAGACGTCGCAAGGCGCTCCCGCGCCCTTCCCCAACTCCTGCCCCGGCCACCCCATGCAGTAAGCGCCGTGCCTTGCGGCGAGGGTAGCGGTGAACCTTGAGAGACGTACTGTGAGTGCGCTGATGTGGAATCCTTGAAAAGCATGCGGCAGCAGCACACCATCTTGCGTGCCACTCCGCGTTCTTAGCTCGCGCTTACATCTCGATATAGAGAAGCCCCTCTCCTTCCATCTATGCCACCACCTCCCTTCCCCGCCCTCCCTCCCCAAGAGGCACGAGGAACCGCCACACAACGCTCGTCGACCAGCTGACCGTATCCATGTGTGTCCTGATTTCACAACGCTAGTCATGGACTACCGTGTCGGTACCCACTCGCCTTTGCCCCCTCCTCCTGTCCCCCCCCCTCCCCCCCCTCCCCCAGGGGCACGTGGAACCGGCACACGACGGGCATCGACCAGCAGACCATCTTCATCACGGCCAGCTTCCAGCAGCCCACGCCGCTGCGACTGCCGGGGCTGTCCGACATGGTGCTCGTCGTCAACACCTCGTCGCAGAGCGTCGCAGCGTCCGTCGCCGTGCCCGACATCCCCAACGACATCGTCTTCGTGCCCGAAGTGGTGAGTGCTGACGTGGCGAGGAGCGTTCAGATTCGGGGAAGCCGAGGGTCGTGTCTACGAACCTGCAGTTACCGCGCGGACCAAATCGCGGAGATTTTTGGATGAATTGCCAAAGCTTTGTGTGGGGTTCATCTGAGAAAGGAAGCAAAGGGCAGCGAAGGGATTCAACCTACTGCTTCCCGAACTCGCGCAAGCTACGAACTGATTGCTCCCTTCTCATTTCCCCTTCGCTGCAATCACATTCGCAGGGAAGCGTGTTCGCCCACGCTGACGTCAACGGCACATTCGCCGTCATCTCCGCGTCGCCGCCATACGCCCTGCAGCGCGCGCGCTACTCCTCCGAATTCGCCGAGGCGGGCTATGGCCGCCTGCTCGCCGACTCGGGTAAGCCCGCTGATAACCGGCTTGGGTAACCCTCCGTCCCCGCTGCTTCCGTTTAGCCCCCCTGTGAGCGCCTGCGGTGGCCGCGCTGAATCTCGTCACCCGTGGTGTCTCGTTACCTTCCATCCTTCCCCCCATCTCTCTTCCCCCCATCTCTCCTCCCTGCTTCCCGTTACCCTCAGCGTTGAACGGCAAGGCCTTTCAGACGGCATCGCAGATGCCGGGCGTGTTCGCGCTGAACCTGTTCACGCAGTCGCCCGACGTGCCGTTCCTCGACCTCTCGCAGGCCATGCTGCAGTCGCAGCCATGGCTGCCGCCCGACACGCCCATCTACTGCCCCGGTCAGCTGCCACCCCATGCATGCTCGCTGTTGCTTCGCGTGTGCCTCTTCCTCGCCTCCCCCCTCTCTTCTGCCTCTCGTCCGCCTCTCCCCTCTCTTCTGCCTCTCGTCCGCCTCTCCCCTCTTCTGCCTCTCGTCCGCCTCTCCCCTCTCTTCTGCCTCTCGTCCGCCTCTCCCCTCTCTTCTGCCTCTCGTCCGCCTCTCCCCTCTCTTCTGCCTCTCGTCCGCCTCTCCCCTCTCTTCTGCCTCTCGTCCGCCTCTCCCCTCTCTTCTGCCTCTCGTCCGCCTCTCCCCTGGCCCGAGATCGCATGGCCGTCACTGCCTGCCGCATGGCACCCGCGCCCTGCGCTCCCTCTCAACCACCTCTCCTCCTTCCCACCCTTACTCCCTCAGCCACGCGCGAGGCCGTGTATTCGGCGGTGAATCGGCGCGCATATGTGTCGTGCGCCAAGGCGGGCAGTCCGCCCGACCCGAGCGCGCCCGAGCCGGGCATCGTGGAGATCGCGGGCGACGACAACGCGCCCGTGGGGTACCTCAACTTCAAGGTGCGGAATGCGGTGGCTTCGAGGTGCGGGGAAGACGCGCGGTTTTTCCAAGGTGGGTGAGAGGAATGCGTCACTTGTGAGATGGCGGGCGACGACAATATCAAGGGGCGCATGCCGAATAGCGCGGTATTCCCAAAGTGCGCGGCGCGGAGGCTTTGAGGTGCGCGTGGGGAATGCGGCAATCTCGAGCTGAGCGCGGGGAATGGAGGTGAAGAATGCCGCCATCTCGGAGTGCGGGTAGATGCGGTCTGCTCTGGCCAGAGAAACAAGGCCCCTCTTCCGACACCTCTGACTGCTCCCTTCACGCCTTTCTCCCCTCGTTCCCTCTCCCCTCACCACCGCCTTTCCCCCTTCGTCTCGTTCCTTCTCATCCCCCTCAGTGCTCTCCTCTTCTCCCTGCGAACTGAATCCGAGTAACCGGGTAACAGGAAAGGGGACGGGAAGAGGGAAGGGGACAGCAAAGGTTGGGCACGGGCGGGTGGGGACGGTGGAAGAAGAGTGGAAAGGACAAGCCCGGGGGGCACAGAGGGAGGGGAAAGGGGGAAAGAGAGTTGTGGGAGGCGAGAGGGAGTGAGAAAAAGAGCTTTTCCTCACCCCTCCCCTTTCTTACCCCCCTACCATGACCCCCTCCCAGGCGGACAGGCTGTATCTGACGCCAGATGAGACCTTCCTGCTGGCGGTGGACAGCAGGGCGAGCGTGATCCGCATGGTGCAGATGCTGCCCGGTGTGGGAAGCGACCAGGTGTTTTCGCTGCAGTGGCCTGACGTCACTCTGCCGCCCAACTCCATGCCCGACAAGATCCTCTTCTACCCCAAGGTGCGTCAGAGAGGCTCCTAGACTTGCATCTTCAACTCCCTGCATCCCTGCCTTGATGTGCATTGATGTGCCTTGACCGGCCTTGGACCTGCCTTGACCGGCCCTGGTGCCTTGACCGACCTTGGACCTGCGTTGACCAGTCTTGGATCTGCCTTGACCGGCCTTGGACCTGCCTTGACCGGCCTTGGACCTGCGTTGACCGGCCTTGGACCTGCGTTGGCCGGCCTTGGACCTGCCTTGACCGGCCTTGGACCTGCGTTGACCGGCCTTGGACCTGCGTTGGCCGGCCTTGGACCTGCCTTGACCGGCCTTGGACCAGTCTTGACCGGCCTTGGACCTGCCTTGACCTGCCTTGGACCTGCCTTGACCGGCCTTGGACCTGCCTTGACTGGCCTTGGACCTGCCTTGACTGGCCTTGGACCTGCCTTGACCGGCCTTGGACCTGCCTTGACCGGCCTTGGACCTGCCTTGACCAGACTTGGACCTGCCGTGCCTGAGCGTGCTAATTCTACTTCTGGCGGTCCTCGTGCTCGCCACATCCACCAGCCATGCAGCTCCGCTACCCTGCTGCCCCACCTCTTGTACCACCGCTCACGCACCCCGCCAGGGCCTGTACTACGTTGCGTTGGTGTGGCTGGCGTTCAAGGACAGCACAGCACAGCCGTGACTTTAGAGGCTGCTGCCTTGTTTCCCTTCCTTTGCTCCCCACATCTCCCCCCACCACACCTCTCCTATCAGGGGCTGTACTATGTCGCACTGGTGTCGCTGGTGTTCAAGGACAGCACGGCGGTGATCGACTTCAACAAGCTGCTGGCGTGCGGCGCCCAGTGCCCGCAAGACAACATCGCCGGGGCGCTCACCTTCATCAACACGGGTTACCATGTGCGCTCCGTCCCCCTCCTCTTTGTTTCCATCGCTTCAAATTAACAAAGCCTTCTCCTTTGCTACATTTCTGTCACCTCACACTGAAGCACACCTTAGCACTCCAGCTCGTTGCCTCTCCAACTCTTCTTGACCCCCTACCCTCACCACCTGAGCCCTGCTTGAAACTCTCCACTCCCCTAACGAATCAGGTGGTGCCACGTGCCACAACGGATCTGGGCATATCATCGCGCAGCATGGCAGTGGGGCATCAGTTCGTGTGTGTGGCAGCCAACCGTGACAAGGCCGTGTACTGCAGCAACCTCGTTAACCCGGCTAACAACAAGGTCTACACCAACATGTTCGACGTGCAAGATATAGTGTAAGTTGGCCGTTTGTCTTGTGTGCATATGTTGTCTGGAATGGGTGGTGCACACAAGCTAAAAACCATGGAATAAGTACCTAGAGGTTCTCGGTTGTCCTTTGAGGAAGCATGCATGATCATTGAGGACTATCTTGCCCTATGGCACCCATTGCCTTCTCATCCTGCAACGTACATCCCCTTGCTCTCCAACCTGCCCACGCGCTCACCCCTCCCTTCCCCCTGCCAGGTTTGTGGAGGGCAAGTATGCGGGCGACCAGTCGTTCATCCGCCCCATCGACACCACCTTCGACTGCTCCTCAGCACCCGACACACTAGACAAGCCACCGCCGCCGCCCTCGCCCTTGGATCTTGCTCTTGCCGCGCATCTGGAGGTTCCCAATGCAGCTGTCACTTCCTTGCCTCCTGCAGCCTCGTCCTCGCCAGGCCCCCAGATTCGTTTTAGGCCACATTGATTTATCATTGCCGATAAAAAAACACCCTGAAATTCAGGGCTGGTATTGGTTTTCCTACTGGTTGGCCCTAGTTTTTCCACTTTCAAGGCTGATTCTTCAGGGCCAGTACACAAATACCCTGAAAATCAGGGTTAGTAAGGTAAAATTCCTGACAGGGGTGTGGTCGTTGCCCATCGTCCTCGGCAAGGCTGCCAGACGGCCTCTTGTTGGCTCTCATGGAGTGCTCATTGCTCTTGCTATGTGTAATATTTTCTTGTAGGAATAAAATATTGTAGTGTTTAACTAGAAAGTAGCTAGCTTTTGCTGCAATGCAAATAAATTTACATAGAATGCAGTACCATAAGCGGAAATCGCTGCGCATGTTTGCCACTACTGAGTAAGATAAACAACCGAGGATTGTTCAAAGGCGCAGGCTAAAACAACTTACTCGGTCGTCGTTGCAGTAGTGGCAAACACGTGCAGCCGCATTCAGAGCCGCTACTATCAGAATTAGAGAAGTGAATGAATCATAGAGTGAGAGTACACACAGATATACCTAAGTGTTGTACCCTCTAAGAGACGACCCTATACAGTCTATACAAATATGACAAATACACATGTTTGACAGCTACATCAACTGTGGTGATGGTCAGGGCTGACTTTATCAGACTATTTACTCTGATTAGTCTGAAATCTCAGACCTGTTTTTTGGCCAAACCTGAATTTCCAGATAAGGCATTTTTGTTATGAAGTGATGAAGCAAGAAAGGAGAAGGCCGCCATGAAATGGCGGCCGAGGTTTAGCTAGGAAGATTGACGAGAGAGAAGGGAGTTAGACTAGAAGAGAATGAAGTACAAGAAGGGGAGTTATCCCCTCTACAGTAGGAAGCAGTTTGTAGCACAACTATCAAGCCTACAATTATATAAAATATAATTTGAACACACCCCCTAGGCTTGGTAGTGGCAAGCCCACTCAACCCACACACACACCCCCTAACCCCGGACATCCTCATTCTCGTGAGCAGCCGGGTATCGACCCCTCGTGCTAGGCGATGACACCCCCGGACGAGAGGCAGCTGGCCGCATCTGGGCGGCCTCAATGACGACAGCGGCGGAGCTCCTGCTCAAGGCGGCTGTGTCGATGAGGACAGGCGGCGACTGCGACGGCTGAGGGCTCTCGGCGGTGTGGCACGGGCTGGCGACGACCGAGCCGAAGACAGCAGCTACGGCAGGAGCAGGAGGAGATGCAGGGGAGGGAGAGGTGGTGGGGCTGCTGTGGTGGGGCTGCAGGACTTCAGCGTGGCGCCATAGGCGCGGCGCTTACTGGCGGGGCGAGGAGGCGCGACGGGGCCCAGGAGGGGCGCGACGGGGCTAGGGGGCGCGACGGGGCCCAAGAGGGGCGCGACGGGGCTAGAGGGGGCGACGGGGCCCAGGAGGGGCGCGACAAGGCTAGGAGGCGCGACGGGGAGGTGGAACGGCGGAGCCGCCACTTCAGGGCGGCAAGCCCAGCACGGCTGCTCGACGTGGCAGCCATGCGACGAGGCCGCCATGGCACCTCGACATGGCCGCCACGGCTGAGTGTCGAGGTCGCCATGGCAGCGCGGCGAGGGACGGCGGCGGCACTAAAAGGACGGTAGAAAAGCGCGGCGGAAGCGTGAGGAGCAGGCCCGCTAGAAGCGAACCGCTCTGATACCATGTTATGAAGTGATGAAGCAAGAAAGGAGAAGGCCGCCATGAAATGGCGGCCGAGGTTTAGCTAGGAAGATTGACGAGAGAGAAGGGAGTTAGACTAGAAGAGAATGAAGTACAAGAAGGGGAGTTATCCCCTCTACAGTAGGAAGCAGTTTGTAGCACAACTATCAAGCCTACAATTATATAAAATATAATTTGAACAATTTTCCCAATCCTGATCCCTTCAGAGTACGATTCTAGGGATCCTGAGAAAATCAGAGTTGTCGCTAACCCAGTACTGAGTTTTCAGAGCACATCGCGTACAGACCCTGACTCATTACCTGTACAGTACCAACCTTCGAAAAATTTGGTGAAGTCCCCAATCGCTAGAGACATGCCCCACATACCCCACAACAACCCCTAAATTTTTTCGGCCAAGTCCCCGAACCCTAGAGACAACCCCCACCCCACACCCCACAACCCATCTAAAATTTCGGCGAAGTCCCGGAATGCTAGAGACATCCCCCACACACCCCACAACCCACCCTAAATTTCGACTAAGTCATGTTGTGAGATACAGTCCTCCCTAACACCTGGAACAACCCAGAAGTTTTGAATGAGACTTTCACTTTTTTTTGAACTGCATTGAAATGAGAGTAAATTCCGCATTTTTAACATATGGAAATTCTCGCCAGTTGCCCGTTTGGTCAACTGAAAGTCTAACAAAATTTAACGGTCACGATCGTTTGCGATCGTTTCGACGTATATCAATCGTTCGATGTTATACAGCGATTAACGTCCAAGATTTCCCAACCGGGGCGCTGCAAGGGCACGAAATTTCTCCCACCCTCCTATTCCCCAGCTTCCCCCCTCCCTGCCGTTTCGATTCCCCCCTTCCCCTCCATTTTCGCTTCCCCCCTCCCCTCCGTTTCGATCACTTCCCCCCTTCCCCTCCGTTTCGCTTCCCCCATCCTCTCCGTTTCGACCGCCCCCCCCCTTCCCCCCCCCTCCCCTCCGTTTCGCTTCCCCCCTTCCCTCCATTTTGATTCCCTCCCTCATTTCCCCGTCAGTTTCGATTCCCCCTCTCAGTTTCGATTTCCGTGGCAGTGCGATTTTAACCCCTCCGTTTTTAGGAACGACTTCCCCGTTTCCCACATTTAACAACTACGCAAAACGAGAGTATGACAAGGTTGCTGGTTGGGGGGGGCGCGGGCTGTGGGAGGATTTTTAATGCTGCAAGGAACTTAGCCGATTTTTTGGGAGGTGTAGGAGGGAGGGATGTTTCTCGCTGTGGGGGTGTTTCCCGTGTGTGATTCTGGTTGTACGTTCTGGACCCTGAAAAAATCAGACTCGCTGAGTTCTGGACCCTGACATTTCAGACTACAAAAATTTCGGCTGAAGGCCCTTCAGACTATTTTTTTTTTTGGGGGGGGATTAGCTCCTACGCCTGTAGCCATTGTTGTTGTTGCTGCTGCCATATCCTCCATTACCACGGCCTGCATTGACGTTACTGCTGCCAAATCTGCCTCCTCACCCTCTGCCCCTTCCACGGCCATTCCCACGGCCCATGCTTGCAACTCCGGCACCATCGGGACCAGCCAATTCGCGACGGCGGAAATCTTCTTGTAAGATTTCCCGCTTCACATCTTCGAGCGAGAGGCGGGGCCGATCTCGATTTAGGTTGATGATGAGCGAAGACCATGAGTCTAGAAGTAAAGTCAGCAGCTTGGTCTTCTTTTGAAGGTCATTGTATTTCAGGTCAGCTCCTTCGAGCCGTGTCAACAAGTCGAAGAATTTATGCACCCCTTCTTCCACCGGTTCACCTTCGTCAATTCGAAGTGCCGCCATTTGCCGCTCCAAAATCACAGCCACCGCCGCTGTTGTAGGAGCGTGTACACCCTTGAGAGCAGCCCATGCATTCGGTCCCTTTGCTGGTTCACGCTGAAAAGGCTTGATGTGACAGATTTGGCTGCTCCCCAACGCTTGCCCAAGTAGAAGATACTGTAGCATTGTCCGCTCTTCCGCACCCACGGGCTCTTCTCCGGGTCGTTCTCGGGGCGCTTCTCCGTTTCTTCCATCATCTCCAGCAGATCATAGTGGTCAAAGATGTTCTCCATCTTGAAGGACCACTCAGCAAAATTGTCACCGTTGAACTTGTCAAGGCCAAACACTCTAGGCTCATCCTTAGAGGGGCCAAGGCTATGTTTCACGGGAGCAATGGGTGGATCTTGGTGTTGGCCTTATACTTGGGCATATTTTCTGCCACCAGCACCTCTGCCACTGTTGTGTGATGTCATCATATGCTATCACATTCTGTCTGCCTCCCATCCCATGTTTTCAACTTGCATGTGTGGTTTGAACGTGTGCAAGAATTTGTGTGTGATGTGTTATGGAGTTTGGGAATGTGTTTTGTGTTATTTTGTTTGAGCATGTATTTTGTGATGATAGATCTTGAGAAGATCTTTCCGACGCAACGAGAATCCCTTCAATCGGAGCAAGAACGCGAAAGCTATGAAGATTCAAAGTTCATGAGCTTGCGTTACAATTGCGGCGGTTACAAAGTGAAGTTGTGGGGTGACTCTATATGGAGTTGGGACCTTTGGGGGTTGGGGAAATTTGTCACTCTACTGTAACAGCTGCAAATTGGTTGGGAACAACCAAGCTAGGTTGGCAAGGGTGGCCAACTTGGATGGATTTGTTGGGGAGGGACAAATGTCAAAGTTGGGGTTCCTATAGGGAGGGAATCTTTGTGCTTATGGGGTTTCCTTGGTTGGGGACTCTCTTGGGACCTTCCCTCTCATTCTTCTCTTTCCATCCCAACCTTTTCTCTTGCTCCTCTAATTCCTTGTGAGATTCTTGAACTTTGATTGAACTTTTGAGATTGAGTTAAGTTCTCCTCCTACAGCTTACCCCCTAATGCGTCGAAAGCCATAGCGTCGCGAATACTTCATCAATCTACGTGATTCAAATTGGAAACGGTAGCTGAGATTAAGAGCTACAAAATATCCGAGTTTCGCGACACTCCAACGGCTAGTTTTTCGTCGACGTTGTTTCTTGTGAAGACGATTTTTCTGTCCAGAATTTCGGATTTATATTTTGAGTAATTCTAGCTCCTAAGTTCACCTAGACTCCGTCCTTAATACTAACAGCCACCCCCTTCCCTAGATCTAGGCATGGTCGAAATGGCTCCAAAGGGCTCTGATACCACTTGTTATAATCACAATAGGCTCAGATGTGCCTAAAATGAGAGAGAGTGCACAGTCGGATTTCCGTTAGACGGCTTCAAATATTGATAACGATCTGATCTGTGAATCAAACGGTGATCTATAAATTGGATCTGAAGCGCGTTGCTATTGCCTATCAGTAGCAAGTTGAATCATGAAATTCCATTAAGATTTGACGACGCTATGGCAGTTTGACTGGCAGGAGGTATAGCAGCCACTATAGTCTTAGAAGTACTAACGTAGAAAGAAGAATGGAGATTTCGATGGTTCTTAGGCTCTACAAGCCCCAAGAGCCGAGGTCCAGGTTGGTGGTACACCACCACAGAGTCCCCAACTACGAAGGGACTCGAAACAAACTCAACAAGGGGCTGGACCAAGTGAAATGTAACACTACATGAAGTAGCATTACTATTTTCACTATTTTAATATTTATCCACTTCCCTTGGGCTTGAAA